AAAACATTTGTGGTATTCGTTTTCAATGCGATTTAAGTAAGCATGTAATGTATAAGATTTCATTTAATTTTTTCTTTTCTAGTGAAGATAGAGAAAAAGTTTATATAATTTTTTTTATATGTAAGGCGTCGGGAAAAGGCGAGGCCCAAGCCGTGGCGCTGGCAAGGGACCGCGTCTGGCCTTCGTCCGTCAACACTCCCACCCCTACCGATGGGGGAGAAGGCTGACGACAAAGGCGAGGGTCTAGGCCCAGGACGGGCTCATTTGTTTTTCCGACGCTGAAAGAACGGGAATAAAGCATGTATACGAATACCCTATGTATTTCTTAATTCGTAATTCCATTCTACGCGTCTGTATAACATATATAAAATTTAATTCGTCCTAAGATTTATATGAAACATTTAAAAGATTTTTTATACATTATGCCTATACATATATCGGAACAACTATGAAACAAGAGGTATAATCATTATTATCCATGGACTGATTATAGTCAAAGTCTAACCGGACTTTGAAATGAGAACATAAAACATAAATGTAAAGTTTCATTTAAATTCATTTAGCTATTTATACTCAATCGTAATAATAATATACATATGTGTGCTCATACATGGGAATAAAAAAAATTTCTTTTTTTTCAATAATTAAAATATGACCAGGAGGTCTTAAAACGTGTATTTCCGTAAAATAAATTTTACAAAATTTTTTTTTCATTATGGGTACTTTGCTTATGTGCGCTTACATAGGTCGGAAAGTAAAAATGCCTGGGCAGTCGAGAATCTCGGCTCGCGAATCCAAATCGTATACCGTTGACGGGAGGTCGGATTTCAGTTGTTTAGAGCGAGAAGGCAAATGTGAGCCTTTCTCTCTCGACTCCCACGAGGCGATCCGAAATTACTTCGGGCAGCTTCGGAGAATCGAGAAAGAGGGCATGTGTCAGTTTGCCTTTGTCGACTTTCCGAAACTCCACGAGCTCACGTACGCGTATCTGGCATGTGTGTGTGTGCACCCGGCGGTGCTTTTCTGGCATCTCTGATCCCGCCGTACTGCACTGCGCGCACAACCTTAAGGCTGGTTTACGCGCGCTAAATACCCTGTTACGCTATCACGTGAACGTAAGTTTAATGCACATAGCGCCACAACGGGAATTAACTGTAACCCGATTATTCACCGTCGAGTCCAGAATCATGTAACTGCGTTTAGTTAAGAGCGAATTTCAAACGGACCAACGTATTATAATAAACAATACGATCGTATATTTTTCAACGTGGGCGATCAAGCTGGGGAAGGTAGAGAGAAAGGAAGGCACTTCTTTTCAGACACTTGGTTTATTTTCTAAAGGCCGCGTCGATGTCGAGATTCCATCGTTCCTTTAGTTTATTGTTTAGTCATTACGGACCGTGACCGTTTAGCTATTTCCGATAAGAGTTTCAATGGTCTTGACACGCAGCAGGGCCTCGCGACACTTCACTTCGAGTTTCGTTTACTCTCACGAGGGTCATAAATTTTCTTAAGGGTTGCTTAGGCCGCTAGCCTCATTTTCTCTCTCGACTCCCACGCTCTCTCTCACGCGCGCCGCTCCAACATAGCCGCGAAACCTCCACCTCCACTCGGCTCGGGGGTGGATCATCGATCGAAGACGATCCGGATAGAGGGAGCAAAGCACGAATCCCGATTGGACCAGGACAATCCAGAGGGAGGATCAAGGAATATTCCAGAGAAGGGATGAACACCGAGGACGACGATAAGATTTTCCGCGGAGGGGCAGATCGATTTTGAGAGTCAACAGAATTGTATCTTTAACCAAGCTTAAGACGAATAAACTTTGATCAATCTTTTCGAGCAATCAATAGTAGTTTGATTTTTGCGCGCCTCGCCGAGCAGAGCGGTTCAGCGCTCCACGGGCACCAACTCACCGTCCTTTCTCCCCAGACCGCTATCTCGGGACGTAACAGCACTGTTGCGTCTCGAGTTCGCGGTTTAGGAAAAAAGGAGGTGGGTTGGTGCCCGTGTAGCGCTGGACCGCTCTGTTCGACGAGGCGCGCAAAAAATCAAACTACTCGAATACGTTCAAAAATACTTTGGCAAAATTTATTCGTTGGAGTTAGCACAGTGTATGATTTTTAGATACAATTCGGTTGAGCTTGAAAATCGTTCGTTTATTACAATACGCTGGTCCGTTTGAATTTCGCTCTTAATTAGAATGCAGTTACATGACTCTGCACTCGACGGTGAATAATCGGGTTTCAATTAATTCCCGTTGTGGCGCTATGTGCATTAAACCTATGTTCACGTGATAGCGTAACACCTCCCCCCTTATACAAAAAGGTGTTTTGATAAAACAGCTTTCGGGTAAACGCCGATATTCTTTATTATTATCCTGAGGTAGGTCGGTGTTAGTTAACAATATTTAACACGTACAATATTCTCATTCTTATCATGCCCCCATGTTTTCAAAGTTACTTATTACTCGCAGGAAAAATAGTTAAGATTTTCCGGTACAGACGCTTATCGAATTATAAAGTTAATAAAAGTCAATGAGGTGATTCGCAGTAAATATTAGAGTAAGTGTGATACAAATCGTGTACGGAGAACAAATAGAGCGCAGTCCTAAATTCGCAGAATATTATATTGAGTAACCTTTACATTGAATATTACAGGTTGACTAATTTACTTAGTTTTCTTCGGAAGGAGAGTTCGGTCTTATATGTGTCAGTTTAAGTTTGTTTGTGTGTACTATTTTAAATCGATTATTCCCTAACACTAATTCTGCCGTTAAATCGCTGAATAATCGGTTTATTTCGTAGAGACCTAACCAATTACAATCGAATTTGGAGGTTTTGGGCTCCTTAAGCAGGTATACTATATCGTTTAAATTAAATTTACATGGCCTTAACCACTTGCGCTAAAAAGACGTGCCACGCATGTCGAGATGCTTTTGTCTCAAAACCGCGAGCGACGTGCACACCACGTCGATAGGCATTTATCGCAAAAATGAAAATAACGTAGTGCACACGTCGCCTAGCAACGAGATTGTTTATTTCTCGAGCTACAGCTCTAGAGTGCACGGCGTCGCACAGTAATAGATTTATATTATTTCTTATCATATCAACTCATATTGTGAAATGGAGAATAATAGTGAAATCAGTGATATTGATAATAATAGTGAACTCAGTGATATAGTTTTGACAAGTACAAGGAGAAAACGATTAATTATTACATCCGATACTGATACAGATAGCGACTGCGAGGAAATTGTTTGTCCTGTTGGGAAGCCACGTAGAATTATAGTATCTGATAGTGAAGAAGAAAGTAGCAGTGAAGATCGTGAACTTAATTTTACATCTGAAGAATGGATATGGGAAAACAAGGAAAACAATAGCAAAATTTGGCAGTACTCACGGATTCCTGGAATAAATATAGAAATGGCAGAAGAAACCACAGCTTTGCAAATGCTAAACCAAATTTTACCAAAAGACTTTTGGAATATCATTGTTACAGAAACCAATCGTTACGCGAGTCAAACAATAGGAAATACAGCCCGAAAAATAAGACAATCTGAGGAAAATTGGAGGGATAGGAATATTGATGAAATTCATGCTTATTTTGCGTTATGCATCTTGATGGCACAAGTGAAAAAGTCGAATGTCCAATCTTATTGGTCAGGAAGAAGTATCATTGAAACTCCCATTTTTCGAAAAACAATGCCATTACGAAAATTTATGCAACTCTCCCATTTTTTACATTTTTCTAATAATGAAGTTGTGGATAAAGATGATCGTTTGTGCAAATTACGAGATATAATCGATTATCTCAATGAGAAATTTACGAGTATGTACACTCCCAAAGAATATGTGTCATTAGACGAATCTCTAATGAAATATACCGGTCGAATGTCATATAAACAGTTCAATCCATCAAAGAGGGCACGTTTTGGAGTCAAATTTTATAAATTGTGCGAGTCTAAATCAGGATATTGTATCAAATTTAAAATATATACAGGTCAAGATACAGTAAAAAATTCAATCACCAGTGCTTCCGAAAATGTTACCATGTTTATGTGCACACCAATATCCAATTTCGGACACACCTTGTTCTTGGATAATTGGTATTCTTCGCCAAATCTGTTTAAAAAATTACAATCCATAACAACTAATGCCATTGGTACAGTTAGATGTAATAGAAAGAATATGCTGAAAGATCTCGCAACGACAAAGCTGAAACGATCAGAAGCTATTTCAAGATCATGCAAGGGTATTTTAGCTGCAAAGTGGAAAGACAAAAAAGATATATATTTATTATCTACAAAACATAAAAAAATTGAGATGATGGAAGTAGAAAAGAAGAGATGGAAAACTAATAACATCGTTGTAAAGCCCAATATCGTTTTAGAATATAATGATGGCATGGGTGGGGTAGATTTCCAAGATAGCTACTTATCTTCTTTTTCACTTATGAGAAAATACGTGAAAAGTTATAAAAAAATCTTTTTTTACTCAATGGATATTGCACTTTTTAATGCTTATGTTTTATTTTCAAAGAAATTAAATATATCAAAAAGTAAAAAATACACATTTTCCAAATTCCGATTAGATGTGGCGCAACAGATTTTAGAAAGTGTATGTATGCCTGAATACAAAAAACGTGGAAGACTGTCTGCTGGTGACGTACCACTGCGTTTACAATCAAAACATTGGGGCCATTTTCCAAGGAATATTCCACCCACAGAAGCTAAAAAAAATCCCCAAAGAAGATGTAAAGTGTGTAGCAAACATAAAAAACGCAGCGAGACTACTTGGGAGTGCAAGAAATGCCTTGTGGCATTACATATTCCAAAATGTTTCGAAATTTATCATACAAAAGTAGATTATTAATTAATAAAATGTTATTGTTGTCGTGAGTATTCATTTATATCCGTGTAAAGTTCTTTATGTAAGAGCCTACCATGCGCTGAGTCGCTGCTTAAAGAATTGCACTCGCAGACGCGGAGCGGCGTAGATGTGACACTTTACCGCTTGTTATATTGTAGCGCACGGCATCGCAACCGTGAAGTTTATTCGTAGCGCAAGTGGTTAAGGCTTGATCGTAATAATTCTTGCTCTTCTGTTTAGCTTTTTCTAGATTCTGTGTCACAGTCGTCTGAGTGGTGGTAATTTTTCAAAGAATTCATCAAGCTGTTTTGCAAAGGTTCTAGGTGTTAGACCCATGGAGAATTTTGAGGGTATATTGGCCTTTTCGCCAAAAATAAGTTCATTGGGCATAAAAGCAGTGGTCTCGGGCACAGAAGTGTTATTTGAGGTAATTGATGAAAACGTGGTATGCTCTTTCGAGGGAGCCCAAAGATTGTGGGTGGAAAGCGGTAGAAGTTATTCTTTGAATTTTTAAAATTTTACAGAAATTTTTCATAACTTCATTAATAAAATTCCTGCCTTGGTCAGTATGGATAGCCCTTGGACATCCAAATCTACTGATGAATTGTTTGGCAAGGGCATAAGCAACGGTTATTGTATCTATGCTACATAGCAGGATTGCATCTGAATATTTAATGAGGTTATCTTGTAAGGTAAGTAGGTACTGATTACCTTTATTAGTTACGGGTAAGGGTCCAACTATGTCCATTTGTACCTTTTCAAACGCGCGTTTAGGGGTGTCTGTAATTTGCATTGGTTGTTTAGTTCGCATGGTATAATTCTTGTTTTTTTGACAGGTGGGGCACGAACGAACAAAATCTTCAATTTCCTTTGCCATACCTGGTCAGTAGAACCGTTCTTGGATAAGTTGGCGAAGCTTAAAGGAACCTCGGTGACCTCCAACTACCGATTCATGATGTTCCTTAATAATCTGTGATCGTTCCGACCTTGGCGGAATTATAATCTCCGTACAGCATATGGTAATGTTATATTGTGGGTCGTTAAAGATTTCCCTAAGCAAGTTTAATATACTATTTTGCGCGGAGGAATCGGATTTATTTGGGTCTATTAAGATACTGAAGGTAGCAGAATTTAAAGAGTTTTGTCGTGATCGTCGCGACAACACTGTTGTGGTTGGCTCACGACGAAGAAGTTTTGCTGGTTGGTTTTTTACAATTCTTTATTGCGTGAAGTACTCCTTCTCGGATCTTTTAGAGTGCTGTGGTCGTAGCTCGCGGGCTACCTTATATACCTAATTTTGGTGGGTGGAGACGCCGGAGTCGGAATAGAAAATTGGGAGTGGTGTATCAGGATTGGCTAATTGGGAAAAATGTAGGCTGGGACCTAGGAAAAGGAGTGGAGGTATGCATAGGGCTGTTCTGGAAAAGGAAAGTCGGTTAAGAGGACACCAGGGTAAGTGAAAACATGTGGGAAATATGGGTGGTCGAGCGGCGCCTCCAACCACCTAGCCGACGTCTGGCCTTGAGGGTACCACTTGCCCAGGCGACGAAAACTGCCTAATGAACAGGCGAGCAAGTGGTTGGGCCCTAACACTTGGGCCTACCCTACGTATTATATTGCGTCGCGACGGGACGCTCGAGGGTCTGCGACGCAACATACCGGCCCCCTTGAACTATTTAGTTCAAAAGAGAAAAAAAAGAGAGACGAAAAATTGATGAAAGTTTCGGTTTACGAATAGATTGTTGTAAGGTGCAAGACTTTCTAAAACAAGAGAATACCAAACTAATGTACAACCATGTATGATTATCTTAATGTTTAGCGTATTAAGTAAAACGTTAGTATATACGTATAATTAAAAACGAGCCCTTGATTCTAACAAACCTTATGCTAAATGGATTAAATTCTCTATGTTATAGCTACACGCAATGAGAAATAGTAAAATAAATAGCCAAATTAGATTAACATAAACACACATGCATCCGAGATTAATAATCATACAGCTCACTTCATGATATTCATGATTGTCATACAATAGTTAAACGCGTTGTCTTCATATATTACTTATTGAATCGTTAATCGGTAAAGGACAAATTTTTTTTACAGTTCTCTTATAAACTCCGTCGGTCGTTTTTACAGTCACTACTCGCACGATTTTATCATCACCAGGGTGCAATTCACTAATTCGCCCTAATTTCCAACGCATAGGTGGCAGATTTTCCTCTTTAAGGAGCACTAACGTTCCCACCTTTAAATTGCACGATGGATTGTTACACCATTTGGTACGAATGTTTAGTTCATTCAAATAGTCCTTGTACCATCTGGTCCAAAAATGCTGTTTCACTTTCTGTATATGCTGCCAAACGGACAGTCGATTATTCGCGATGGCAGACACGTCTTGCTCCGGTAAGCCAATCAAAGACTCGCCTATTAGGAAATGGGCAGGGGTAAGGGCTATGTAGTCATTGGGATCGGAAGAAATCGGTGTTATAGGGCGTGAATTTAAAATCGCTTCAATCTCTACAACATACGTATTTAACTCCTCGTAGGTAAACAGAATATCTCCTATTGTACGAAGTAGATGATACTTAAATGACTTAACGGCAGCTTCCCATAGTCCTCCAAAATGAGGAGATCTTGGAGGTGAGAAATGCCATGTAATGCCCTTGTTGGTTAAATATTTGATAGCTACATGTCGATGTTCTTCGGACCTTAATAATTCTTCCATTTCGGTTAATTTATTTCTAGCACCTACAAAATTTGTACCATTATCAGAGTAAATGGTGTGAGCATAACCGCGTCTACTAAAAAATCTTCTCAAGCTAGCAATGAACGCATCGGTTGACAAATCGCTAACAACTTCGAGGTGCATTGCCTTTGTTACGAAACATATGAAAAACGGCGATCCAAACCTTTAATCTCTTTGTATTGCGGAATTTTTTCTCTTTAATATAAAATGGACCGCAAAAATCGATCCCGACGATTTGAAACGGTCTTGCTGAATTTACACGATCTTTCGGTAATTTACCCATTGAATACTCTGGTGTACTTTGCGGATTAACTCTAAAACATTTAACGCAATTTCGAATGATGTGCCTTACTGTATTTTTGCCATCAATGGGCCAGTACCTTTGCCTCACAGCGTTTAACGTTCCCAATATACCTGCGTGCATACAGCGGTGGTGCTCGTTACGAATAATGAGATATGACACGTGATTAGACTTAGGCAGAAGAATCGGATGTTTTTGCGAATATCTAATGTTTGAATTTTGTAGGCGACCACCGACGCGAATGATACCGTGTTCGATAAAAGGAGACAGTGCATACAATTTACTGGTTTTAGAAACCATGCCCTTGGTATTTAAATCCTGAAATTCTCGCGTGAAATGAGTTCTTTGGATATTCTTAATGATACTATCCTGAGCTCTTCGAAGCTCGAAAACCGATAGTGGCCCCGTATTTGACTCTAGCTTTAAGGCATTTTTACAAAAACGAACACAATATGCTGTTACTCGCTGTACGGTGGTTAACGAGGAAAAACGCTCGAAATCATTTATTTGACTTGTGCAACTAACTAGCGTAACCCGAACCTCTTGTATATCTTTGACAGGGATTGGTATTATGGGCCACTTTGATGGCAATTCGGATAACCATACTGGACCATTTAACCAGAGATGATTTTCGAGAAATTCTAATGGTAATTGTCCGCGAGATATACAATCCGCGGGATTCTCCGATGATGCTACATGTTTCCAATCCTTCGCATTAGTACGCTCTTGTACTTTTGCAACGCGGTTCGCTATAAAGGTTTCTAGAGTGTGCGGTGGTGAATTTAACCATCCTAACACTATTGTTGAATCGGACCAAAAATGAACCGCGCTAAAGGGCCTTTTTAATGCTTCCGCGACTGTTCGATACAGGCTACTGAGCAATTCAGCAGCACATAATTCCAATTTTGGAATTGTGATCGTTTTTAACGGAGCTACGCGAGACTTTGCTGCTATTAGATTTGTCGTAGTGCCCTTCTTGGCATCTGTACACCTTAAATAAATACATGCTCCGTACGCAGTTTCACTTGCATCGCAAAAACCGTGTAACTGGCATTCCAGTGTGTTATTTCCGATAATTTGGCGTGGCACCACAAAATTGTTAAGTACAGGCAATTGTGACATATATATATTCCATAACGAGGATATATCCGACGGAACAGTGTTATCCCATCCTACACCGCGTTTCCACAATTCTTGCATTATTAGCTTTGCTTTTACCACCACAGGTCCAAGCAAGCCTAAAGGATCAAACAATTTAGCTATATTTGACAAAATAGTTCGTTTCGTTATTTGCGATCCCTGATCAGTAATAGTTACTTTATAGCTAATCGAATCATCGCGTGGACGCCAATAAATGCCGAGAGTCTTTTTTACCGTTTCCATATCTAAAAATAAAAATTCTTCCGAAGCGAGCTCTTTGAAATTTGCAATTAATGAAGGTTCATTCGATGCCCATTGTCGCAAATTGAACCCTCCCGTCTTTAAGGCTTCGACTAGTTGATCACGTAGAGCTATAGCCTCGTTTAGCGTTTGTGTACCGGTTAGAAGATCGTCCATATAAAAATCGCGTTTTATCGCATTTGTTGCTAAGGGGAATGATTTTTCACTATCACTAGCTAGTTGATTTAGGCAACGAACTGCGAGAAATGGAGCACATGCAGTACCATACGTGACAGTATTTAATTGGTATGTCTTGATTGCTTCAGTAGGATTTTTCCGCCACAATATTTTATGATATATTGCATCATCTGGATGCAGTCTTATTTGCCTAAACATCTTTTCGACGTCAGCGATTAGTACATACACGTGCGATCGAAAGCGCGTAATTAAAGCAAAAACATCTTCCTGGATTGTCGGGCCTACCATAAGCGTATCGTTCAGAGATATTCCCGTATCGGTCTTAGCGGATGCATCAAAAACTACCCGTACCTTCGTTGTAAGGCTACTATCTTTGACTACTGCATGATGCGGCAAGTAGCATCCAGAATTTTTAGCTGCTACATTTGTTACTTCTGTCATATGACCTAACCTTTGATATTCCTCCAGGAAGTCTACATATTTTTCGCGTAATTCGGTATTCAATTGAAGTTTACGTTCCATCGCGTAGAATCGTTTTAGCGCACTTTTATATGAATCGCCTAGCTCGCCCTTTCTTTCATTAAATGGTAATCTCACCATAAAGTGACCCGACGCATCGCGCTGGGTTGTATCTTGAAATGATAGTTCGCATAATTTCTCTTCTCGCGACATTAACCTTTTTTGAGGGATTTCCTCGAGTTCCCAAAACTTTTGCAATTGTTTATCTAGAGGAACCGTAGCAAGAAAACAATTCGTCCTATTTATCGGTTTACGAACGGATCTTACTTCACCCGAAATAACCCCAACCTAATTGCGTTTCCTGCAATACCGCGGTTTTATTGCTTAACCGAATTTGTCCACTAAGTAACAGTTTATAAAATAAATATTCGCCTAACAACGCATCAATATCAGCAGGTATATTAAAATCAGGATCGGCTAATTTAACATTACTTGGAATGTTTAAAACATCGCGTTCAACTCTTCGCGATGGCAGATTACTCATTATACTTGGTAATATTAAAAACTTCGCGTCATACGAAAACCTTGTAAATCTTGATTTAACTCGCGATTGTACGCACAGTCTTACTTGACTTGCCTGTTGCCCTAAACCTAAGACTGGCAAATTGATTTTACGCCTTGGCAATTTTAACTTATTTGCAAATTTCTCGGTTATAAAATTCGATTGCGAACCAGGATCTAAAAGGACTCTACAATTGTGTTCCTTATTATTTGCGTCTAAAATTATAATTTGAGCCGTAGATAATAAAACCTCCGAAATTCCATAAGCTGTTAATGCTACTGAGGTTGATGCTGACGGCACGGCGTTGTCAACAATTGTATCTTTCTTGTTATTATTGTTTGGAGGGTCAAAATGCAGTAATGTGTGATGTTTAGCTCCACATTTCCGACAGGTACTCGCTCGGCATTGTGCCGTTGTATGATTTGAATGGAAACAATTTACACAATGCTTAATGCCTTTAATTAACTTTAGTCTCTCATAAGGAGTTTGACTTAAAAATTGTTTGCACTGATTTATATAATGAGTTTGTTTGCATAAAGCACAGGTTATTGAGGAATTTGCACTGACAAAGGTATTGGTTTTATGTAATTTATATGGTTTGTCAAACTGTCTTTTATAATTATTATCGCGTTGTTGAGGATTGTCATGATAATGTGAAACTAGTTTGACTGGTTCATCGTCTCGTGAATATCGATTTATGAATGCTAATAAATCTTTGAATTTTGGCATGACATTCTCTTCAATTGTGCGCTCCCATGAAGTGCGTGTTGTTCTATCGAGTTTTGACGTTATTATATAAATTAACATTTCATCCCAATCTACTGGTTGATTTAAAGCCTTCAATGCATTAACATGCATCTCTGCCGCTTCTGACAGAGCACGTAATGCAGAAGGTGAATATTTAAGATTTTCCGGCAATTCGAATAAAGCGCGTATATGGCTTTGTATTATTTTTCTCGGATTATTGAACCGTTTTTGTATTAGTTCCCAGGCAACAAAATAATTTTCCTCAGAAGCAGTTAGCGAATTGATAGCCGAAGACGCATTCCCAGTTAAATATGATTTTAAGAGGTGAAATTTATGCACGATCGCTATGGAATCATTTTCATGCACCAATGAACGAAATGTATCAAAAAAGGCTTGCCAATCGATAAAATTTCCATCGAATGGCTTGATGTGGATTTTTGGCAATATTGTTTGGTTCGTCATTACAGTAGGACTAGCGGCTGAAATGTTATTTGCTGGAGCAGTGGTTATGGAACGATTAGATAATCTATATAATTTCCCACCTATAAGATCTCCACATTCATAATAGAGTGTTTCAAACTCTTCGCGAGCTGCCGTGTGATCAAGACTATCGTCTACATTTTCTATCTCAGTTTGAACTGAACAAAGCCTTTCAAAAAGGTCTTCAAGTTTCTGCTTACGTAATTCTAACGCGTGTATTTCTAATTCTCCTGCATCCCTTACATAATTTTTTATTCGCGTAATTTGTGCCTTGAGCACCGTACGTTGCTTAGCAAGAGATTTTAAATCTAACGCCATAATTTATAGAGATTGAAGCAATTTTCGGACAAGAGTAATTAAATGGTATAGGAAGGTGAGTCAAGCTTACTTGAGCGCTGAATGGCCTTTACCGCAACTATAATCGACTCTGTCCTCCTTCGGTTTCAATTGCCACAACTGCAGGTAGAATGTTGAATTCGTCACTCGCTGGAGCCCTTTCGGTGTCCAGATGGTTCCGGGGTTGTTAGCCGGTGGTACAGGTCCGCAGGTTACAGGTCCGCCGGTTGTAGGTTCGCTGGTTGCAGGTACGCCGGTTGCAGGTAAGCCGCTTCGCAGGAATTGCCCAATGCTGATACAGGTGTACCCGTCGAACTCGTTGTCCTCACCAATGGTTTGACAATATAATATTGCCACTTATGATTCCTCGCCAAGGAATTTCGATGAATGCTTATTGCATCCGATAAATGTCCACAGTCGTTGATATGACTCAATAAATGAGCGATCAAAATGACTGCTCTTCGATTTTTAAAATAATAGATGATCTTATTTGATCACTATAAAGCCGGTTACGTTGCACTTCACTTCAGAATGTTATGTTTGATAATTGCTCTTAATTAAGCACAGTATCATAAAACACAGTACTAATTTACTGCTATCCGGCTCGAAGGACCATGTCGTGATCGTCGCGACAACACTGTTGTGGTTGGCTCACGACGAAGAAGTTTTGCTGGTTGGTTTTTTACAATTCTTTATTGCGTGAAGTACTCCTTCTCGGATCTTTTAGAGTGCTGTGGTCGTAGCTCGCGGGCTACCTTATATACCTAATTTTGGTGGGTGGAGACGCCGGAGTCGGAATAGAAAATTGGGAGTGGTTTATCAGGATTGGCTAATTGGGAAAAATGTAGGCTGGGACCTAGGAAAAGGAGTGGAGGTATGCATAGGGCTGTTCTGGAAAAGGAAAGTCGGTTAAGAGGACACCAGGGTAAGTGAAAACATGTGGGAAATATGGGTGGTCGAGCGGCGCCTCCAACCACCTAGCCGACGTCTGGCCTTGAGGGTACCACTTGCCCAGGCGACGAAAACTGCCTAATGAACAGGCGAGCAAGTGGTTGGGCCCTAACACTTGGGCCTACCCTACGTATTATATTGCGTCGCGACGGGACGCTCGAGGGTCTGCGACGCAACAAGTTTAGTAGATTTTTAAGGGATTTCAGCGAGTTTTAGATGTGACCAAAAATTAATTCATCTTGGGGGTCAGTTTTAAAAAACAAAAAGAATACCGAGTATTTATCCTGTGGGAACGCCATGGCATCGCCAACATTTACTTTATATTGTCATATTTGTTCTATTGATAGACCTATTTGACCTAACAGTCCCTCGGTTGCGTGGGAGGCATTGGTGCCATTGTTGGAGATGAAGTGAACGAAGTTATCTCGTCGTGTAAAGAGGTGGTCCTTTAGATAGAATATGGTAGGAGCGGTAGGAGAGGGTTTCGGTTCGTCTATATCGGCATTTGTGATCAAAATCCTTTTCCCAACATTGATTCTGTTTTCGTCATTGATATCTTGTGCATCTAAAAGGTTTCCTATAGGGTCTACCGAATTTACTACCGAGGTCACACCACTGGATTTCCCTGTGCAGTTCTGGTCATCCCCATTCACACTTTCATCTGGCCTCAATGGCCAGGATACAGGCAAACCTCGGTCCACCTGACCGGGTTGGAACCATCCATCCGGTTCTCCTGCCCGGATGGGATACGTAGGCACACGGGGCGCTCCTCTCCTCTGAGACGACACAGGTTGCACATCGAGTACAGATTCCCTCTCACGGCCTCCGAAGCGAGTTGAGGAGACTCTGGGATACTCGATTGGGGTGTTCCTTCAGGAAGTTCTCGCGCGAAGTTCATTACTGAGCATGATTTCCCCGAATCAAAAATCTTTAGTACGCCATTGGTGACCTCGCTTAATTTCCTCGCTGTTTTCCTGCACGCTAGGAACCAATGAGTCTATCGTTTTCCGCGAATAACGCTTCATCCATCTTATCCATTTCGGAGTCTACAATTGGTGGTTTGTCTGCGCAGACTTGCACCCTTCCCAGACACCTCGGTTTAGAATTGGAGTCCGCGCAAGATCGTACAAGTTGCAGTTGAAGACTGGAATTTATGTCGGCGACGACGGGATTACGTCAGGCAAATCAGACAATATCAGGTTTCATTACTCCGCAAGTAATCTTATGACTTAAATATGCAATTTTCTTTTGCAGGAAACGACATTTCTCTGATTGAAGAGCCAGTCCGGCATTTTGCTTCCTTGGAGGAAAAGATATCAATGATAGGTTTTTAGCATCTCGCCAAAATCTCTTTTCATTTGTTCAATGTGAAACGCTCGCTAGGCGTAACCGGCTGATATCTTAACGTCCTACCGTCGCTTTTCAAAATTGAAGAACTACGTTTATAATAGAACTACCCGATCCGATTTTCGTTAATTCTTGATAGTCTACTATTCTCGCAAATTCTACAAATAAATTCGAAAGAAAAGTATTCGTGGACCGGATGATCGGCTAAACGCGCGGTTTCGCAATCAATCTACACATATAACGAAGACAGACATGGGGCGACCAACTTTTCAGAGTATATCTCTTCTTTCAGGTTCCGTTCCTATCGCGCCTCTCGTTCGTTTCGAGCCTCCCCATAGAGGATGATCATCCGATTCTGTTGATAAATTATCATTTTTTCCTGGGGCTGTACGAACAGAGGAAAACGTCGATCGACGGTTACCGCAAATTTCACGTGGTAAGATATATTTTATAAATATTTATCAGAGTTTAGTCAACATTTTTTCCAGCGTCCCTTTTGTTATGCTCCATAACTAGTTTACTTCCTTTTCCTCCTTTTGCATAAATTACTTTAATATTAGTCGGTGGGTCTGATTTTAATTCTTTCTGTTTCATTAGGTTCAATTGGGAGCCGGTGTTACGATCGGGTCAATGGACAGGGTTTGGGAGGAGCCAGATATAGGAGGTGACGCGAACGTGCTATTAATCATATTTAAGGGACTGTCCGTCGAGTTATACCCTTGGATTATGGACTGTACGGGAACAAAACCTGTTTCATTTACTCGCAACACTACAGCTCCGGAAGTAGGGGGTTCTACGCGGGAAGATTCTAGCGATTCCTCTATGAATACTCCACTATCACCACGCATACGCTGTTTACGGCTCCCTTTAGCCCTCACGTATTTCTTTAGGAACGGCGGCATTTTATCAATTGATTAAATCTACTTAGTGCGAATAAATTAGACCAGTACAAATAAATCTAGCTACTAGTCTGTGCTGCGGCTATTATTATATTACTACACTTACAGTTCGCTAGCAACTACGACGGAAACGCTCTAGAATTTTATTGACCAGTTCTCCTGCAACAGGGGTTTTCTGCTCGTCGTCGGTCTGTTGAGTCAGCGGTCTGAGTCCCGGAAGATGTTCGGAATCGGCGATGGGACTGGTCCGTGATACCTTTCAGATGTTCCGATCGTCGGTGGTGTTCGTTTCTCTGTCCTACAGGAACCTCGTTCGGTGGCGTTCGTCTCTCCGTGCTGAGTAAGGCGAAAGTTCAACCGTGATGTGAACAGGGTGCATGTGATAACGGTGGTGGCTTGCACGGCCGCCGAAATCACCCGTCTCCGGTATTTACCCGTGCCCTTGGGGAAACCGTGCGAAAACCCAAAGGAAAACGGATGCACTGATTCTAATGTTCACTTTATATGTATTTATAAGAGTTCAATGAAAATATAAAATTCAGTTTGTTGGAACGTGCACTCACGAGCCGGCAAAGTTTGTCTTAGCTAAATTCGGCACAGTCCGTAATAAACTAAAAGAAGGAATGACGGAAACTCCGATTCGACATGACCTTTAGAAAATATCTCTAAGTATCTCTAAGAAGTGCTTTCCTTTCTCTCTACCTTTTCCAGCTTGATCGCCGACGTTGAAAAGCATACAATTGCATTGTTTATTACAATACGCTGGTCCGTTTGAATTTCGCTCTTAATTAGAATGCAGTTACATGACTGCACTTGACGGTGAATAATCGGGTTTCAATTAATTCCCGTTGTGGCGCTATGTGCATTAAACTGTTGCGCGTCCGGCGGCGTATTTCCGAAACTTCGTAGGGAATTCGGCGGGGAACGCTGCCCGTGGAGTGCTAAGGCACTCTGCTCCTTGGACGCGGGAGTTTCAAACGGAGATCGCTAGATAAGGAAAATAATAAATGGATACAACGATTTGAACACACGTAAATAGAACTTTAATTAACTCAATAAAAGAATATAAAACAAAACAACCAAGATTTCGCAGGAATTATTATAACCCGTTCGTACACTTCCGCTCTCTCGATTCAAAATGCTTCTCTCTTTGCCGATTCAACTCTATTAACTAAACTCAAATAATACAAGTACGATCTCGCTTAGGTTACAATGCTACGTCCGTTCACTTTCGATCTCCGGATTCAAGTGTCGCTCTGCCGGCCGGTCGCGGCCCAGCCCACACGTAGGCCCCTTCCGATCGTCCTTTCTTTTATTCGGGCCGGGCGCAAAACTCTCGCACGCGCGTTCCTCGGCACACCCCCGATCCCTCGAGAACGGTCCTCTGCGGCACGTGGCCGTTATCGGCTTTTGCACGCAGCCCGTTTCCGGCAATCGATAGCGCACAGCCCAAGTCCTGGAATTACACCCCTAGGAGAAAGGATCAAAGTGGAGTTCACGACTATCCAAACATCCGTCTCCAATAAATTATTGGCTAATCTATGACCCGAAGTGAAGTCATTAAAAGAATCTCTAACTACTTTTAAACCGTAGAATTGGCGCGGACTCCACTTTGTCTCCCTTTCCTATTACATTCGTGTAATCTGATTTAAACCTCGCGCCCCCCCAGAGCTTCTGCTACACGGTGCCAGGCGGCGACCGCAACAAAACCTATGTTCACGTGATAGCGTAACAGTACTGTTGCGTCCCGAGTTCACGGTTTAGGGAAAAAGGAGGTGGGTTGGTGCCCGTGGAGCGCTGGACCGCTCTGTTCGACGAGGCGCGCAAAAATCAAAACGATGGACATTATGAAATTCACTTCTACGTTAAAAATAATCAAAAGTAAAATTGTAACTTCAGGAACCCTTCCAATTAGTGAAAGTAAATCATTAGAGTTGTACAAATATTACTTAGTTTCGCTACGACACAAGAAGTACAAACTCGTGTGATCCAATTTCTTTCAGCTCTGTAAACTTGAATATAAAATGCAAATTGGGAAATACTCATGCTCTTAAAGATTCTGGATCTCCCATTATTTATTCCATAACTAGATGAATAAAAACGAAGAAATGGACGAATAAAAACTTGGTAAACTCACTATAGTTAATGCATTATCGATTCCAGTCTCGTTTCCTTTTTCATTTTAAACGAGACTTGAATATAAATTACAATTAATTACGGAGTCTACACGTTATTCATCCTATAATTATTAATTCTATAATTAAAACCACAAAACTTTTATAAAATATTCAAGAAAAGTTTTCCAATTTTTGCACTAAAGGAGTCAACGTAAAGTTTAAAACCACGAAAAGTAGTACAGCGTCCATAAAATGACACCATTTGTAACTGTGACAATTATCGGTGGAAAAGATACCCACGAAGATTTTTATGTACGTGTTTCCATCTTGTACCTTTAAGAGCGAAATAAAACTTGTTTATTACTGAAGTTATGTGGGTTCAGTGCGTGTCTAAGAATGATTCGAAAGAAAGGAGAGTGAATCATAGTGCCGAAACATCGTTTAATGTTTGGCGGCGGGAATAAAGGACTCACGGGGACCCAGGTGGCCCGAGCGATGCCATGGCGTTGCGATAACAGACAATGTGGACGAGCTGACGAGTTTGAGAAACGTTCGACATCGGGCAGTTCTCGTCGAGACGTGGAGTCATTTTTACTTCGAGGCATTTCTCTAATATCTCTGTGTATTGTCGTTTGTTTCTTTATTGTTAAATATACAGGGTGTCCCGTAAATAGTGTAAGAAACGGAAATGGGGGGTAGGTGAGACAATTCTAAGCAACAATTTCCTTTGCAAAAATGTCGGATGGGGCTTCGTTTTTGAATTATTAACGAAAAACACTGACCAATCACGGCGCTCGCCTTCCGCGCGCTCAGGGCCGTCCGACCTCGGAGAGCCACCGCGCCGGGTAGGTAGCAAGATGCGCGTTGAAAATACATCGAGGAACGAGTACAAATAATTAAAAATACTACCACTGCAACTGTTACCTAATTCGTGAATTACTACGTAATTAGTACGTAAATTACTAAATGGAATTTACTTTTTATTAATTATTTGTATTCGCTGTTTCCAAGGAAGAAGGAATAAAATCTCGGAATTTTTAGAAAATTAACCCTTCGCACCCGAGTGACGCTTCTCGCCAGAGTGTTTTAAAATTAAAATAAGAATTATTATCAGAAAATTAAAATAAATACGGTAAGAACCATTTGTAACCGTTTGTTATTAAAAACTGTACTGAAAAAGCAGACTGGATTTCTGCGTACCGAAACATTCCTCGAATGCAAAGGGTTAATAGAGAAATAATTGAAATTCGACTTACCCATTCATTTGCAAGTTGACCTACTGCGCTGACAATAGGGCCCGGCCAATGCACCGCTGTCGATCACGGCAAGGTCGAAGACCCGAACGAAAATCAGCTGATGGGCCAGCCCGGTCACTGTACCTGCTTCTCACCCCGAAAACACTTCACAGCACGGTCACTAACAATTTTCATTTTCACTTTTCACTTTCGCATACCGATGCGTTCCGTTGCACCCTTCTTCGATTGTTGCCTCTTCCTGGGTTGATAACGGTGCCTGGATGTTGCTCCCTCCTGAATTGTTACTCCTTCCTGAATTGTTGTTCCTTCCTGGATTGTTGCTTCTTCGAACCTTGCTCCCTTCAGGATTATTGTTCCTTTTCGCTGGGATAATGGGCACGATACGTGCGGGCGGCTTTCTTCGCGTTCCCCTTGGACTCCGCGAAAACGAAGAACGTATGATAATACTCTGCGTTTACGCGTTCCATCGCGTGCGTCCGCTTCTGTTCAGAAACGCGTAGGTTCTGTGAAAAATTTTGACTGACAAATTGCATTTCCCTCCCCGAAAAAGTTCCAGGTAAGGCAACCTATTGTCGCGCGATTCGGAATTACCTGCGATCGGCGAACGTGCAGACCATGCTTTTGCCGTGTATCGCACAAAGCCAAACGTCTCTTCGGCTAGTTGACCCTGGCGGAGTTATTTTTTTATTACTGCAAAACTGCCGCAAATGTTTGCTGCTAACCGTGCGTTCGACTCTTCTATTCGAATTTTTATGATTCACCGTGAATATTTTTTCATGGAAAATTTGTTGTAAAAAAGAAAGAAGAATATACCATGAAAAATTCCATGCTTTTAAATTTTAAGAGTATAAAATAAAAAGGTATTGTTTATAAAAAATAATCCACAAAGAAGGAGGCAGTTACATAATAGATAATATGCGATAATAAAAAATATTGGAGCAACAAAAAACAAAAATATTTAACAAAAATATTAAATAATATTTCTTCTAGTTTTTATTTCTGAAATAAAAATTCCAAGAAGAAATATTTTTTAATATTTTCATTAAATATTTTTGTTGTACAATTAAATATGTTTTGTGTACAAAAATATTCACGGTGAATCATAAAAATTCGAATAGAAGAGTCGAACGCACGGTTAGCAGCAAACATTTGCGGCAGTTTTGCAGTAATAAAAAAATAACTCCGCCAGGGTCAACTAGCCGAAGAGACGTTTGGCTTTGTGCGATACACGGCAAAAGCATGGTCTGCACGTTCGCCGATCGCAGGTAATTCCGAATCGCGCGACAATAGGTTGCCTTACCTGGAACTTTTTCGGGGAGGGAAATGCAATTTGTCACTCAAAATTTTTCACAGAACCTACGCGTTTCTGAACAGAAGCGGACGCACGCGATGGAACGCGTAAACGCAGAGTATTATCGTACGTTCTTCGTTTTCGCGGAGTCCAAGGGGAACGCGAAGAAAGCCGCCCGCACGTATCGTGCCCATTATCCCAGCGAAAAGGAACAACAATCCTGAAGGGAGCAAGGTTCGAAGAAGCAACAATCCAGGAAGGAACAACAATTCAGGGAGCAACAACAATTCAGGAAGGAGTAACAATTCAGGAGGGAGCAACATCCAGGCACCGTTATCAACCCAGGAAGAAGCAACAATCGAAGAAGGGTGCAACGGAACGCATCGGTATGCGAAAGTGAAAAGTGAAAGTGAAAATTGTTAGTGACCGTGCTGTGAAGTGTTTTCGGGGTGAGAAGCAGGTACAGTGACCGGGCTGGCCCATCAGCTGATTTTCGTTCGGGTCTTCGACCTTGCCGTGATCGACAGCGGTGCATTGGCCGGGCCCTATTGTCAGCGCAGTAGGTCAACTTGCAAATGAATGGGTAAGTCGAATTTCAATTATTTCTCTATTAACCCTTTGCATTCGAGGAATGTTTCGGTACGCAGAAATCCAGTCTGCTTTTTCAGTACAGTTTTTAATAACAAACGGTTACAAATGGTTCTTACCGTATTTATTTTAATTTTCTGATAATAATTCTTATTTTAATTTTAAAACACTCTGGCGAGAAGCGTCACTCGGGTGCGAAG